AATTTTATTTTAATTCTATATTGATGATATCATTGTTTTGATTATACTTGGACCATGTGGAGTAGCTCATCAATGAGGTAGTTATGGCTCGAACGACGACGAGAATTCGAAGCTAGAAGTTGACTAGAATGCCATATACCTTGAGACTTGTTGGGGAGAAAAAGAAAAGATTTTATGGTATAGGCACACAGTTGTTGCATTATCTATCTCGGTCAAGTGGTAGCGACTTCTCCTCTATGACATCACATTGTCAACTCGACTAACGAAGAGCTTCGGAGGGACTACGAGGCTATAAAGAAATCGACAAAGGGGATGCGGGTGATACAAAACAAGCTTCGCAGCTCGGTGGCGAGTGACGAAGGTGCTATTTACAATCTAAAATCTCGGTATGACTCGATGACATCCTTAGTAATAAGGTCGGCACAAATAACCTAGGTGTCTATAAATCCATCGGCCAGTCATCAATCCGGCGTTCTTTCCACTTAGTCTCCCATTCGGCTTCTAGCCGATCATCTTATCGAGCCTTTCACACGGTATCAAGATGAGGATATGAGATTAGACGAGCGGGATGAGTGATAGGGTATCGAGTCACCGGTTTTTTTTTTTTTATAGAACATATTCTAAAATGATATTGTTAATATTATTTTATTTTTAATATATACGTTATTAATTATAGTTTTTAATTATTAAATATAGTATTAATAATTAAAAAATTATCAAAAAAATAACGACAAATGCATTTTCAAAATAAGTGACCACATAGCGACCAATTCATTTTCAAAATTAGTGACAAAATAAAGATGGAATAGTTATGAAAGAAATGATAGACCCCATGACAAGATTAGCGACAAAAATTTCATCATTAAACGTTACGACGGAATGGATTTTCCATGTCAAAAAATAGCAATAAGCGAAATAGCAACTAAAATTTTTTTGTTGCTATTCCGTCATTATTCACTATTAGCAACAAAATTTAAGCAATTTGTGACAAAATATTTCGTTGCTAATGGTCCTTTTTTTTTTTTACAGTGGATGTTATGGCAAATAAAAAAAAAAGATAAATAATTACAAAAAATTATCAAAAGATAAAACTAAATAAATTATTAACACATAGGATTTGCATGGTTTGGCAAATTGCCTACTTCGTAGGAGAGAGAAAGTTGTATTAGCTTGATAGTAGAAGAATACAAGAACCCTAAAGGCTCAATACAAAGTCTCTATGTTTCGTTCGTTTCCTAAAAAGAGACATCAAAAGGTTTAAATACCTCATATCTATAAAGAAAAAAAAACCTAATGGGCTAAATATATTATTGACTCATAAAATTCAAGCCACACATGATAAATCTTCACCTTAGCTTGAATTACGCAAACCTTCAAGAATGTCAAATAATTCCTCAAAACACATCTCTAAACTTATGTGAGCTTACTCGATGTAAGAAATAAAAGATATGAAGAGAGAAAATATTGACTTCAACACCGAGACTAACAAAATTTCTTCTCTTCAACAATACCCTAACATGTACAAACAAATACTTGAGGCACATAGATAGAAGACAAGTGCTTCACATGGGCAAAAGTATGAAGCACAAGAGAGAAAAGAAAACTCACACAGACTCTATCTCTCCCCTTCACACGGCTAAACCTCTATTTTCAACATCACTCTTTAATTTTCTTAACACCATTTAGGTCCAAACAATACGTAAACTTGTTTGCTATAACATGTTTAGTTAATACATCGATTGGATTGTTTTTAGGGTAAACTTTCTTCATAGTGATCTTCTCGTCGAAACTGCTTCATGAATGAAATGATTCCCGATGTCAATATGCTTGGTCCTCTTGTGATGTGGTTGATTTTTGGTTAAGTGTATGACACTCGATTGTCACAAAAGATAATTGAATTTTCTTCTTGTTGAAGACCAAGTTCATCGATACGATTTCTCAATCAAATAACCTCTTTCAAGACCTCGGCTACCATATATTTTGCTTCGATAGACGACAAAGAAACTATGAACTATAATGTTGATCTCCAACTTATAGCAGAACCCAAAAATGTAAAGATATACCTAGTCAAAGATCTCTTTTTATCGAGATCACTTATAAAGTTAAAATCCACAAAGCCTACAACGAGAGGTTTCGAAGCACTAACCCTTTCAATGACTAAACCCAAGTCCGTAGTAGCTTTGAGATACCTAAGAATCCACTTCACTGCTTGCTAATACACCTTTCCTAGATGAGTCATATATCCGCTCACAACACCGATCGCCTAGGCAATGTTTGGACCAGTGCGGATCATAGCATACATTATGCTACCAACTCGTACTAGAATATAGAACTCATAACATGTCCTTCTCTTCTTCTTCATTCCGAGGTGATTGAGAAGCTGAAAGTCTAAAGTGAGCAAACGATAGAATATTGATAGGTTTGACCTTCGCATACCAAAATGCTTAACCACTTTCTCAAAATATCCTTTCTATGAAAGATAATTTTCCAGCATTTCTATCTCTATAAATCTCCATACTTAAGATCTTCTTCAATGCTTTAAGATCTTTCATCTTAAATTCATCACTAAGTTGTTTCTTCAGACACTTGAATTTCGATATGTTTTTGACATCAATAAGCATGTCATCTATATACAATAAGATATACATAAAAGATCCATTTGCTAACTATCCGAAATGCACATAACTATCATAAGTAGATTTTGAATAACCATGATTAAGCATAAAACTATCAAACCTCTTGTACCACCACCTTGGTGATTATTTTAGGCCATACAAAGATTTTTTCAAATTGCAAACATGGTCTTCTTTCCTTTCCATAAAGTGTAATTACCGGTACTCTCTAAAACTAAAATTAAATAAAAATTAAACATAAAACATGTGTGAAAAATATTGTGAAGGTATAAAATAATCTTTAACAACTTAAAAGAATATTTAGAGTAGTTAGAATAGTATTTTTATGCTTAATAAATATTTTATTAATTTTACGATGCATGAATAGTAATTTTTACATGAAATAATTATTTTGAGAATGTTACATATGCATGAAAACTATTTTGTTTGCCTAAAATATTTATTAGAGGGGTGTTATATTATTTTATGTGATTTTATGAATTTTCTTGTGCGTTGTGAATATTTTATTTGAATTGTTATGTAAATGAATAGTGTTTTAAAGATAGAAGAATTAAATTAGGTACTTCAAAAGTATGAGGAAATATTGGAGCCCTAAATGAGGTATAAAAATTATGAAAATTTTGACTAAATTCTCTTAATAAATGTTTGAATTTATTCTGAAAAGAAATAAAAAATTTGAAAAGTATAGAATAAAATTTTAGAATTAAGGACCTAATTGTTTAAAATTAGGGACTCAATTGCATAAAATTAAAAGTCTAACCTTTCAAATTAAATTGCGTAGAAAGTTTAAGGGTAAAAAATTTATCCTAAATACTGAAAAGTAAGGGCTAAAAGTGAATATTTGAATAAAAGAAGGGTTTAAGAAAGAATAAGCCAAGGAAATCTTTGCAAACTAGAAGGACTAGAATTTGTCATTTTTCTCCAAACTTTGGCCGACTTAAAGCATTAATTAAGTCTGACTTTCAGTAAAATTTATGGGCCAACATTAAGCTAAATGGAAGATTAAACAAAAAGAAGAATAAATGGCCAAAAATTTAGTCAAATAAAAAGAGATTATTGGAAATATAATTAAGGATTGAGATTCACCCAAATTAAGGATGGTGATGAAGTCAATAAGTCTACAAAATTCATCTATAAATAGGGGTGCTAGAAAAATTAAAAATGCAAAGAAAATAGAAAAAAACACAAAGGAACCTCTTACAAAATTTTCACTCAAAAATTAATCAAAATATTCCTAACCAATTTTAGACACTCTTAATCGATGGATTAAGCCTCAATTTCAAGTTGGGAGCCGAAAATTTCTAAGGAGAAAATTAAAAGAGCTAATATGAATTTAGGAGGAAAAAGAGGAGGAAAATAATTCTCAAGCAACCTACCTTTCCAAGGTTAATTTGGAGCTTAATCATGTAAGTTAATTTCATCTACATCACAAGGTATTTTTAATTGTTGTTAATTTGTTGTTTATATGCCTTTATGTTGTTCACAAAAAAAATAATAATAATAAATAAATAAAAAAAAAAATTCAAGTTTTCCTGAGCTGTTACTTTTATTACTCCTAGAATTGGCTTCCATAATGACTAATGAGAAGGGTCTCATGATAGCTGTTATAATTAAATGACGTAAGAACATTTCGAATTAGTTTGTGCTTATATTTTTAAATGAGTTTGTATATAAATAGACACTAAATTTCTTTTCAATTTATAATTTTATTGGAAAAAAAAATCACCACAAGTCAAAGAGTAGATTATAATGACAAAGAGGTCCATCTATCTCAGAAATTGCACATTTATGATCCTAATCTGATTTTCTAGACAATCTACTAACAAATTTGATACAATCTTCCATTCTGATGTCAGCCTAGTCTATTCATCGATATGCTACAAATTAGTCACAAAACCCCCGGCCACGTCTTGAACCCTTTACATATGTCATAGAAATTCTCAGGCAATTTCTCCCATTCTTATCTTTTATGAAATAAATTATTTATAGTCCTACTATTATAGTCATGGACAAGCAAGACATTAATGTCCACTTGATTATAAAGCAAACCCAGCAAAATCATTTGGTCAGTCCATAAAGCAAACTAAAGCTAGCAGACCATGAAAAAGTCAGCCGAACCTTTCAGAAAAATTAGAACAAATTCCTTCAAAAAGAGAGCAAAAACGCTTCAAACAATACAACATATAAGATTCCTCAACACTACATGTGAATAAAGTCCCCACAACTCAGACATCTCCTCAACTATCGAAGCAAAGTATCATTACTTCATCTCCTAAACTATACTCTTCCTCCTCCCCATCAGACTCTAACTTCCCTCTATTTTTGTCACATTTTCTTTCCCTTCTTGAACTCTCATCAATCGCAAATATGGGCACGCTCTTGTTGATCACCCTCTCAGTTTTTTCAGCATTAATCCCACCAAGTTTTGCCAACAATGTCCTTGTCAATAATCCGTGCCGATCTTATTGCGGTAACATAACTGTTAGTTACCCTTTTGCACTCCAATCTGGCTGTGGCCATCCAGGTTTTAGAGACCTCTTATTTTGCATGAATGATGTACTGATGTTTCATATAAGCTCAGGATCATACCGAGTAGTAGAAATAGACTATGCGTATCAATCTGTTACGCTACATGAGCCTTACTTGTCAACTTGTGACACCCTTGTGCTAGGCGGCAAGGGTAATGGCTTCGCAGTGGAGCAATGGCGGTCTCCATACTTCAATCCGACCGCCGACAACGTGTTCATGCTGATAGGTTGCTCGGCTCAATCGTCACTCTTCCAAGGATTCCCCGGGAAGCACTTGCCTTGTCGAAACGTTTCGGGTATGGGCTGCGAAGATTACTATGGATGCCCGGCGTGGAGTCTAGCGGGCCGTGGACAAATGGGCACGATGTTCGGGTCAGGTCCGCCGGAGTGTTGTGCGGTGGCATTTGAGGCTATTAAGGCTATAAATCTGAGTAAGCTTGACTGTGAAGGTTATAGTAGCGCCTATAGTCTTGCACCATTAAGAGTTGACGGGCCCAGTGAATGGTCTTATGGGATCCGAGTGAAATATTCTGTTCAAGGGAATGACGAGTTTTGTAGGGCATGTGAGGCAACTGGTGGCACATGTGGGTATGGTTCTGATGGGATTAGGCAGTTGTGCATGTGTGGCCATATGAATTCCACATCAAATTGTGATTCAGGTAAGGACATAACTCTATATGTATTCTTTTAGCATTAAATTCAAGTATCAACTTAGATATTGCAAGCAAATGCGTCCCAGATGCCAACATTCAGGAGATAACTTTGTCCCCCTCTCCACATGGGAGCCTCTAACGCATAGGGTGATTAAAACTAGGTCAAATTTGGCTAATTTGATCCTGACCCTACATGAGCATTTTCCTCTCCCACCATCTTATCAAAAGTCATTGCTACCTTAAATAGTACCATTTTATCTTTGTTATGCTGCACTGTGTCTATGCAAGTAACCAACACTTGTATGTGCAGTTACCTCAGCAACAAATAGAAGAACATGGGACCGGTTGGTGACACAAAGAGTCACAGGTACTTATTTCATCCAAAGCTGTCGAGGTCTTCTTTAAACATATTCAATGTTTTGGGGCCTTATGCTTCAATCACGAGATCTCATGTTCGAACTTAGCCTTTTATATGAGAATAAATACGAAGGCAAGGAGATCTAACCTTAATTTATTTAAATTAGTTTTAAAATACTCCTTGTTTCTACAAAATTTTCAAATATATCTTGATGAAATGGTCACTTTAAAATAAAAATGTTATATTCTACTTCTTTCAAGCATCAAACTCCATCCAAAATCAGGGGGGAAAAAATTATCTCAAAGAAATTATTCATTTTAATTTTTTATCTATATAAAGAAAGTTATTAATTATTATGCAATACTAGTATCTTTTGTATATATTTTTTAAAAAAATTGTTAGCTATGGAATTTAATAATACATGACACGTAATCAATATTAATTAAGAGTATTTTTAAAAAATACTCCATTTCAAATTTTGACTATGCAAATATTTCAAAACAGATATAAATAAAAAAATAAATAAACAATCTTTTTAGAATATATTCAACTATTGATATAGATAGGTCAGTAGTATTTGTCTCAAACGTAGGGGGAAAAAAGAAAGGAAGTTTCATACATTTTCTTAAAGCCAGTTTTCATAATTGAACATGTGGCTGGTTGCCTAGAATAATTCGTTATAAAAGTTCCAAGACAGAAGACTAGAAGAGCAGCGTAATGTCCCCTAGCTCATCTTCATAAGAAAGAAAAAGTCGCCATTAGTTCATAATGTCCATGCTATAACAATTGATAATTTGGTGAAGGGCAGTGCAAGTTTATGTTATTTCTTTATTAGCAACATGAAAAACCATGGTGTTTAAGAGTACTCTTAATTAATCTCTTATTCAATTCGAATGCATAAGAGATTGACCATGATACATTTTCTTTGAGGAGGGTGTTACAATTTACATAGTTGGGAAAAAAATAACTAGACCATATGGTAGATAATTACAAATTTAAAATCCAAAATAATATCGGACATTTAAATGTTACTATTGTTATTTCTAAATATATGACTTGTTTTACTCTTGTTTCTACGTAATCTGCAGCAATTTTTATGTGTATATTAGCATGGATATGACTGCCAATCACAGTTGAAGGGATGCACGATCCAACACCAATATCTCCAGTGTTTGTAATTAAATGATTTGATCACTATATATGAACGAATTGAGAGAGAAGAAGCTAGCTAGCTCATTTTTCAAATATGAATGTCCGTTGGTCTTTGCATTACCAAGAACGCTTACATTATTTATGGGTTTTTCTGTAAAGAGGGAGATGTGAGCATTCATCTAGAAGCGCATGTGCTTACATGGCCAACATTACTTTACTTTTGGAGTTTTTTTTTTTTCCCCTTTCCTTTCCTTTGTAGAGGATCAAGCTGTCATGAATGCCAGATTTTATTTTACCTTTTTTCTTCTAATTAATCATAAGAAAAAGAGACGGAGATGATGAGAATTGAAGAGGAATAATTACATCACAAGTATATTAATTTTTAATTTTTTCTTAATTGAGTATATGAATTTTAATTTTTTTTTGCTTTAATACACCGATTTTTTTAAAATTACCAATCAAATATTTTCTTCAATTGACAGATGACATATATATTACCTTTAGAATACTAAATTATAATCATGCTCTCTTTTAGTTAGAGAGAACTTTTCCTCCAAATACTCATAAATAATGAATTTTTGTAATAAAAAAATCTCATGTTTGTGAGTTTTTTCAATTTTAACACTTAGGCCTAATTGAGTTATTTATTTATTTATTTAAACAACAAATCTAATTAAGTTCAGTTTGAGATTTTATAGCTAAAAAATGTTTAAAAAAATTTTTTTTTTATCAATTTTTGAAATGGTAGAATAATTTAGAGGGAAAGTTTTATCCACAAAAAAAGGTAAAATTATAATTTGATATTTTGAGGTTAACAAACACTCCATTAGTTAACAAAAAAAATTGATGGAAGTTGTTCATTGATAGTTTCAAAAAATTTAGTGTACTAAAATAAAATTAAGGTTAATGTACTTTATTGAGAAAAAAAAAGAGAGCAAAATTATAATTTGATATTCGGGAGGTAATAGAAGTCATCGAGTTAACAAAAAAATTAATGAAAATACTTGATTGATAGTTTTGAAAAACAAAATCTATATACTTGATTGAAAAAACGGTAAAAATTAGTGTATTTATAGTGCAATTATCTTGGATTGAAAATCATTAATTTTTTTTTTCGAAACAACTTAAAGTCATTAGTATGGATTCATAATTTTTTGTTAAAATTTTTTTGAACTTGTATCTTATGTACTTCTAATGAGTGGTCAAGAAAAGAAAAGAAAAAGAGCAACCTTGTTTGACCGTAAACATGATCGAGGTTTAAATTTTCTAGTTTTTCATATTTATATGATCATAATTTTCACACAGTAACCTCTCGACAATCATAAAAATAAACATATATATGTTTGATATGTATAAAGTCTCCATTTAGTTTTAAAAAAGGTAAAAATTAAAAAAAAAAACCTAATACTATTCTTAAGAGTTCTAAGTAAGAAGGTTGACTACACAACTAAAGAAGATTACAATCACCCTAGTATGCTCTTGCAATAAGATTACCTTATGTTTCATGCTCGAGAGAATTCATTTATACAAATCCATTCTTATATCCACTTGTTTATCTTAATATGTGAGTTCAATTATTTGGGTTTTTTCTAACTATTTTTAAATAAGATGATTTATGAGAATCCATTCATACGTCCACTTATTTAATAGGTGACGGAAGACGGATGAATTTCTTCGGCTATCGTTTTGTTTTTTTTTTTTTTGGTCGTTAGGGTTTTTTTTTTTTTCCTAACCGGCATTGTATGTGATCGTGGATAGGGTGGTATGTACTTATAGGAAACCTTAGGTCGGTTTAACAAAAATTTCCTATTTTAATTTTTGTTGGGCAGCAAAAATCAAGCTTAGAATGCCGTGGCCTAGCGCACACTTAGGCCTTACATAAGGCTTAACATGCACTTGATCGTCCATACCTTTGTTTTCCATTGAATTTTTTAAATTTTTTTTCCTAATTTTTTAATTTTTTCTTCTTTTTTTATTTTGGTTTTTTTTTTTTGGATAAAAATAAAGATATGACAACTATATTCTTGTTACACTTCTTATGTGTTGAAGATGCGAAAAGACTAATTTTCATAAATTTTGACTTATTGAGCTTGTAAAGTAGAGATGTGGCTACGAAAAGAATGGTCATCTCGGTTGGTGACTACATGTGATTTTAAAAGAAATTCATTTCAATCGGGTAAGCATTTGGGTATTTTGAAAACTAATCATCTCGAAAGGATGACCACTCGAATATATTGTAAAAAAAAAAAAAAACTCGATTATCTTGACAAGTTGACCATATGACTTTTCAAACAATTGGTCATCTCGACGGAGTGACCACTTAGATATTTTTGAAAGACTAGTCATCTCGATAAGGTGACTACTTGAATATTTTAAAAGTCTAGTCATCTTGACAAGGTGACCACCTTAACATTTTTTAAAGACTGGTCATCTCGACCGGGTGACCAATTAGACATTTTAAGAAAACTGGTCATCTTGACAAAATGGCTATCCGGACAATTTTTTTTAAAGACAAGTCATCTTGACAATGTGACCACCTAGATACTTTATGAAAAGCTAATCATCTTGACATGATAACCACTCGAATATTTTTTCGAAGATAGGTCATCTTGATAAGTTGATCATCTAGATACTTTATGGAAAACTATTCATCTTAACGGAATAAACAACTAAATATTTTTCCAAAGATTGTTCATCTCGATAAAGTGGCTACCTAGATACTATATAGAAAACTAGTAATCTCAATAAGGTAACCACTTGGACTCTTTTAAAAATATAAGTTTATGATGATTAGCCTTAAAAAAAGAAGATCTATTCATTCTCATACCCGAGTTTGCTTTGTTTATAATAGTGATAGATTATGAGTTCTATGAAGATAGTACCTCTATGAGAAATATAAATCGCACTTTGTAAAGCTCAACTCTTTTGTCTTTAATTTGAGGGATCTAGCTCAGATTTGGCTTTCTAATTACTAAAACTTTTTGAAGAGATGTTAGCTTGACTATATATTGTTCTAGCCTTATTGTTGTTTTATTTTGCCTATGAGAATGTGATCTCACCCTTTGTCATTAGGTTATACTACATCCAATAAGTGTCATGTTTAATGCATTTAAAGGTCATGGTCATTGAACCATCTTAATGGCCCCTTACCGAATGTTGATTCTAGGATTCAATTAGTTAGGTGCCTTTATCAAGTGTTGACACATGTTGATCCGTGCTTGCCTTTAAGGTTAGGCCTTTTTGCATGTCCTTTTCTCTACACCGTCCACCTACCTCCAAATTCAACTAATGTGCCATGAATTTATTTATTTTTTCCTATCCACCCGCCTCTTGATTTAGTTAATGTGCAATGCAAAATTGAACTCTTGTCTTGTTCACCCATTTGACTATGATCAATGGCCTTTTTAATGATTCACTTGCTCGAATTTTAACGCATACTTTGCAAATTCAAGTCAATTTATAACACTATTTTGAAATAAATCATTCCATTTTAAGACTAAATAGTATAATTTAATAGTATTTTTCCAATTAATCTAAGTTATTGCAAAAATTTTTTTAGAGATGTGCATTAGAAAGTATTATCATTCGTGAATTATCTAAATAGTTAGTCACAACCAAAACTTATTGCTCAAGTACTAGGTTGCAATCATGCTTGAAGTGCAAAACGAGGGTTTATAAATGAATATTCTTTTGATGGTCTTTGAGAAGTGATCAAAAAGTTTGGTTGTTTTTTAAAGTGAAGGGCACATATGGTACTTTTGAAAAATGTGAGGCAATTAGTTAGAATGGTTTAACTAAAGTGTGATTTTTTGGTTTGAATAGTTTTTCCTTGTATCTTTCTTACGATTTAGTGCCATAAATAATGATATGGAACATGCAAGTAGATTAGAAATTATTTTTTCTTTAAAGATAAAATCTATCAGCCTAAACAACTCATTTAAAAAAAAAAAAAAAGACTTTTAAAGCTTGTAAAGTAAGTTGGCTTTGGGATTATGAAGAAAAATATATAAAAGCTCAAATTGTATTTAAGGATTTGAAGACTAGGGATCACTTTAATATATCAATCACTCCTTTTTGACTTGATTGCTCTTGCGGAATCATTGCTATTAGTATTGACTTCAATCTTATTTCAAAACGGGGGTTTTTATGAATTCATGATTATCTTTTTTTTAGTTTTCTTCTTATTTCTTTTTCCTTTTTATTTAGGATAAATTCAAGACGGTTTTTATTCTCGTTGCTATTGTTAAAAAATTTTGCTTGACTTTTCCTTTCTAACTTCTTAATTTAAGGAGTTATTTATCTTTTTATTTTAAAAATATTTTACCCCAGTATGAAGGTGATCCTAGTCTTGAGTTAGCATCCCAAGAAATTAATAAGGCCGCAATGGATTTTTATTACCATTTGTGAAGGATACCAAATATAGCTTTTTTCATCTCAAAATCAATTTACTTATGCTAACAAGTTGTAACTATTTTGAATATTGTTTATTTTGAGAAAATCAAGTTTGTGACCTCTTTATATGTGTTTCATCATCATTTAGAGCATCAAATCTTTTATGACAAGACTCTTTTTACAAAGGTGTTGTTTGAGACGAAGAAGATGAAAGATCATCCATCCTATGGAGGTATAGAATAAAATAAAATTTTTCCTCTATCTAAGGCTCTTAAAATCAAATTGTTGAATCAACTAATCATACATACATGAATAAAAAGTGAGTAAAGGATTATCTCTTGTAGTGCGATTTAGCATTTGTAGAAAAGGAGTCATCTAATTGTCCGACCACTATTAATAATCCATACGGTCCAAACACTCACATAAGAAGCAATAAGAAGTTATAAATTGCTAGCTTCATTTTTTTCGACTTGTTTGATTTTTTCTCTCTAGAAATCTATTTTAAAATATTTTGCAATAACCCTAAAAGAGAGGGAGAGAGTCGGCATGATTTTTAAGAAAGCGAAAACTATTTTCTCCTTGTTTTTCTCTATATTGTGTGTCTCCTCTTGCTTAGCCCTCTTGCCATACCTTTCTCTTTTATTTATAGAAGAAGTTTCTTCCTTGTCCTCCAAGGACAAGGAAGTGGTGGCAACAAATCCAAAAAGAACTCTAGGTTGTTGCTTCCTAGTTAACTCCAAGGATTAGGAGTTGCAATGCATATGGATTTTTTTTTTATCTTATCCTTATAAACCCCGAGCCTTATCCAATAGGATTTAAGTTTATTCTTCCATCAAAATATCTTGTAGAATTTTAAATTAAATCAGTTGACCCAAACTCTTTTGGCCTAATTAATTATCAATCAATTTAGATTATCCAAATAAATTGGGTTAGATATTTTTAAGAGACCCACATTAGGAAATAAGTTTCTAAATTACCTTTAAACCTAAATTAGAAAACTAATTTTCTTTTTAGGTAACTTACTTCCAAATTTAGAACCGATTTCTAAACTTAGAAACCGATTTCTAAAACGAGAAAACTTTTCATTTTAGAAAACTTTTTTCCAAAACAGAAACCTTTCATTTTCGAATATTTTTTCAAAATAGGAAACTTTTTAAATTAGAAACTTTTTTCCAAAATCTTTGCTTCTCTTTTATTATGTGAATGCTTAAACTTATGTGTGTGACTTAATAGACCCCTAAATATGTTGGTAATGTATGAAGACTAAAAGACACCTCTTTTATCTCTTAATGCATAAATCAAGATTGACCTCTAGCAAAGTATTATGACTATCCAATTGTCTATGAGGATTAATTAATCCGCAATCATCTTTCACGAGCATGGTTACCATAAAATTTTGTCCTCATGTCAATTTATCATAGTGTGATCTCGAACTTGGGTTTTAGTTTGTTCGATTATAATCATACAAGTTTTTTCTCCCAAATTAATGTCTTAACTCTAGAGTAAAGCAGCTATACTCTATTAGTGTACTCTTACTCGTAGCCATAGATTTCTTGAACATACATTTATCGAAGTGCAATGTGATCCTTTTAGCATATAAGGAATGACATGTCATATCTTAGTCATTTACCTATCTTCATTAAATTCCTAATGCACCCAATAAATCATCCACGTGCGGCTCTTAACCGAGCCAATCGAAATGAGTGTCAAAATATATAAATCTTCTAACGAGATAACCATGATGACTTCAAGTCAAACGATCGATTAGTACCTATCTCGTATGAGATTCCCATAGACTAAATCAAATGGGTTCTCATGACGAGTCAAGTCTAATGATATATTCTCTAACATTAATCATCCGAGTTTTACTTTAGCTTTGGCTTCACTATGCTAATAGGTACGAGATCTCCTGTTACTATCTTATAGCATGAGTATAACACTCACAAGTCTTATAATGTGCAATGTGTTTTGTGTACATTAATGCTTAACTTGAGACATTTAATGATATCATGTAAGTATATTAATGTTTGTCTCATTTTTCGATCAAGCAATAATGTAATGCATACCATATGAACTTTTATCTAATTCTATCAATAAATATAAACAATGATAATTAATTGAAAGAATTCCTTTTATTAATAAAATAAAGAAAGCAATATTACAATAAATCAAACCATTCAATCAAGGTTGGACCTTGAGCATTTATACTAACAAAGGATGTGTTTTGTGTTACGAAAATAACGATTGTCTCATAGTTATTGCATGACATGTTTTGAAAATTATCAATTTTAGAGGAGTTTGATGAATGTATTTATCATTATATTACTTCTTGTTTAGGATGAAATACAATGCTAAATGATACTTTCAAATCCATATTTTTGGATTTCAATTCAATAATAACATTATATAAGAAAAAAATTTGATACCATTACGATATGTAAGTTAGTTTAGCAAGAACCTAATAAAATATTTCGACATACTATGTTCAAACGTCAATAAAAAAGAAAAAGACTTGGTTTTGGGATATCTACAAGTCAAAATACAGCAATACCAAACAGATGCTCACTGACAGAGAGTATATGCAGAGCTAAAAGGACTCCAACAATCATTGTTGCAAAATATGGGTAACCTATAAAATTCCACTTATCCCGTGTAATAGGACGAGCCCACTCTTTCGTGGATTTTGGGATAACTACAGATCAATCTACAAACTATATACCTATTCCCCAACGTTCAAAATCTTGCTTTTCTCCACATATTTTCTTCAGTTTGATAAGTTCAACTTCGTCACTTTCCTTGCATAAAATGGAATAAATAGATATTTCATATTTTAATTATGCGATCAAGAAAAAGTATAAATTGATATAAATTTCATATTTTTTTGTTAAAATTTTGTCCAATTTTTAAAAGAGTATAAATTGACTCCATTTATGTCTATATCGGAGGTAGGAAAAAAAAGTTTTGTTTTTACGTCACTATCAAATAGGTTTCTATCCTAGCAATTATTGTTTTTTTTGTTTTGGGACAAGGGCCAAACAGTAGAATAATGAGAATTTCATTGATTTTTTTCATTCAGATTAAGAAAATGCTTTATATATTATGCCAATTTATGAATTTTTATTATTTTTACTACAATTTTCTTTTATTAAAAGGACCGGACATTATACATGTGAATTTATTTTTTAGTAGGGGCAACGTAATAAAGTTAGGTACTTAATTTTTTTAATTTTTCGACAAAAGATATGTATTTTGTGATGCTTGAATAATAATAATAATAAAAGAACGATTGTTTTTGTAGCATTGAAGATGTAGTATTTTATTAATGAAAGAGAGTTTAATAAATTCAATTTTATTATAAGAAAACTTATAAAATGAACTTATTAGACCTAAGAAAGTATGATGAGAAATGAGCATAAAGATTGGAGACTGAATTGTAGTTATCCCGTGCCTTTTTACTATTAGTTCTCAACTTGAGTAAATTATAAATTAGTTCCTTTAGTTTTTTTTTTAAAAAAAATAGTTAGTCTTTCTTGTTCATTATTTAATCATTTTTTCATTTTATATTCCTTTCTAATTTTTTAAATAAAAAATAAAAATATATTATGAAAAGATTGATGACAAAAGAATGTATTTTTTTAAAAATAAAACAATATCAAAGGTCAAAGGACTAATTAATTAAAATAATAGAGACTAATCAATTCTTCTCTTGAAACTAAAGGGACTAATTTATAATTTACTCCCTCAACTCTCTTTGATGCACGTGGTTTCTTGCTTTTAGTACAGAACGTTTATTTAGCCCAAAAACGGCATATTCTTAATAATATGGAATCACCCAACCTAATCTAATGGGTAGGCACTATTTTTTTTTTTTCCTGTGTAGTATATCTCCTTGTTTGAAAAGGCCAATTCATGTTTTTCTTTAATTCTAAGAGGTTTAGAGGAAAAAGGAAAAAGATAAAATCAGTATCTATCCAGAAGTGGAAAAAAATAAACTTGACAAATCATAACAACATGATAATTTCTAACATCAAATTTTAGTTTTAATTTACTTTTCTTACCTAAAAGTTGGCTGTGCTGTGGTGTTGGGGAAACTGATTACTGTTTTGTTGGAGTTTGGTGGCCACCAACCTTTCAATCATCGAACCCAGAAAACAACCTACTACTGCAATAATATTTATATTTACATTAATACAATATAAATATAAACAAACAAATCCCTTTTCATGCCAGATTAAAAAAAAAAAAAAAACAGTTCTTGTCCAAGCCTGATGAAACCTCTGTTCTCTCTCTCATTGCAATAATAATAAAAAAAAGTATTTCTTGGTTTTTGTTAATCTAACAATTTATAGGAGACAATTTCTCCTGTTCTCAAGGCAATAGTTCATTGAATCTCTCTACACAATCCAACGCTTAATCTTGGAAAGAGAAACGACCTTTCTCTTTATAAAACCACGGTAGAACCCCGAATTTCAATTCAAAGGTCTTACTTTTTCTTGATTTTATGCTTTGAATTCTTGTTTTTATTGTCTTTGACGAATTGGGTATTTGTTATTTTGGTTTTTAGAGGCACAAATGGCAGCCAGTTTGTCTGCGACTTCTCTTTCTTTGATATCTCAGCGACCCAAATCGCCGATTCTTGATTTTGAAGACAAAAACTGCTGCTTCTGGACTCGACCAAGTTGCTACACGAAGCAAAGCAACATAATCAGAAATGTAAGTGGAAGTAGAAGCAGAAAAGGTGCGAGTCTTGTCTCTGCCTCACTGTCTACTATTTCTGGGAAATCAGCTTCCATCGTACCTGCATTCAATGAGGTCTGTCTCTCACGTTCTTTTTGTTTTGTTTTTTTTTTTTTGTTTTTTTTAACTTATGGGTATTTTACTTTTTGCTTATTTATTTTGATTTCGTTTGTAATTTTTTTTCTCGCAGTTGATTGAATCCTTGATTAATAAGGTGGATTTGTCAGAATCTGAGGCTGAAGCATCATTAGATTATTTACTGGATGATGCTAGCGAGGCCTTGATCAGTGCTTTCTTGGTACTGCTGAGAGCCAAGGGAGAGACTTTTGAAGAAGTAAGTTTAGTGCATTTATTGCATTTACAAGTAAGGCTAGCATATTCCATGTGGCTTCCCTTTTAAATTTACGGAATTTAATGCATAGAGCCATAGACTGATAGGCATGATACTTTAATATGGCGCAGTAACTACTGCTAATGGGAATGTGCTACTGCTGACACAATTTGCTGTTGTAATGAAATGAAAGTATTTATTATGTTACTATGCTATTAGGTTGTTGGATTGGCAAGGGCTATGTTTAAGCATGCCAGGAAGGTGGAAGGGTTAGTTGATGTTGTGGATATTGTTGGAACTGGTGGTGATGGTGCAAACACCGTAAACATTTCCACTGGAGCGTCAATACTTGCTGCTGCTTGTGGTGCTAAAGTAGCCAAGGTCAGAAATTTTTTTTTTTTTCTCAAAATAATTGCTTAAAATTTGTGGACTATGTTATATGGTGAGTTGCATGTGATGTGCTAAATGTTTGTGTTTGCTTTGCAGCAAGGGAATAGATCAAGTTCTTCGGCATGTGGAAGTGCTGATGTATTGGAAGAACTTGGGGTAGTAATTGACTTGGACCCAGAGGTAGGTTCATTATGAATGGAAGTCATCAATAGCTGCAGTTGGCACTAGTATAGCTTCTTTTCCTTTTTTTTTTTTTTTTTCTTATCAGTATGTTTATTTAAGTGTCTTTGATGTGGTTGTGGGCGTAAAAGTGGCCTTTTGTTAAATGCTATGAAGATAATATAACGCGTACTGAGCTCTATCAAGCTTGTGGTTACCATTCATGCTACTCCTTTCTTCCATTTCCCATTTAATAATTAGTCGAGGAGTTAACCAGACAGCTTTTACTTGGAAGTAGCGCTGCCAATGCCTATAAGTTGCCAGTTGATGCAAGGTGTATTCTTTAGTACATTAGAGCTTTAAGGGGGCTGACTCATTTCCTTTTGTTATTTGAATTTTAGAACTACGACTCACTTGAGGGCATAACCCATTCCTTTTCCAACATAACCCATTTGTGTATAGTAGGTTTGTTGGACTCTTGAATTTTGGGAGAGTATTTCTTTGCCTGGGGCTTCATTTGGCCCCCAGAAGGAACAATCAGCTCTTGCCTGAAATTAACCGTTGCACATCCAAGTAATATTATCAGAAATGTCTGTGGTCTGTGAGAAGTTTGCCCTTTTTCTCTCTCTCCCCCTTCCTTTCTTCCAGTGAAGTGGGATAAGTTGAGTGTTTTTTCTGTTCTGCTTCAACCATTTGTTTCACTCCCTTTGTGCGTTCTTGTATGCCATGTCCATCTTTTGCAAAATCCTCGTTCATTAGAGATCTCATTGTCCATATAGCACCATTAAGATTGAGTATATTGGTGTTCTTTTTATTCATTTATCCGGAAAAAAAATAATAATAATAGGCATGAAAACGTTGGATCTTTTCTTCTTAATTTAATGTTTTATTATTATTATTATTATTTTTATATTCTGGAAAGTTTCTACGATACAAGTCATTTTGGACTACCATGTCAATTGTGACTCATCAAGCACAACTCATATGGCAATGTCATTTGCATAATGCAAATTATGTTCTTTTGGTTGATGCTGTTCCATTAATAAGTTACAAACCACAGCTTAGGCAGATAGATGTCAAATCATAGGCAATTCCAGTCACAAGTTCTATGCATATAATTCAATTTATTCTCAATTTTCATGAAATCAGGGTGTATCAAGATGTGTAAATGAAGCTGGAATCGGCTTCATGATGTCGCCAAAATACCATCCTGCTATGAAGATCGTTAGCCCTGTAAGGAAGAAACTGAAAATCAAAACCATCTTCAACATATTGGGTCCTATGCTGAATCCTGCACGTGTTCCCTTTGCTGTTGTTGGTGTATTCCATGAAGACTTAGTGAGTGCCTGTATCATGAACTGCAACAACTGTGACATACAATCATCTGTCCAACAATTATGCTTATTGATATCATTTTATTGGAAAGCTTAATGACTTTATTTTGTGATATGCCTTTTTCTCTCTCTTTTGTTACATGGATATCCATATGAACACATGAGATATCTTGCTTGTTGGAATGGGGGATTGCTTGGGCTGTAGCTGAACTTCTCGCATAAAATTCATCTCTGAGATGCCTTATTTATGTTTCTTGGGTAGGTATTGAAAATGGCTAAAGCATTGCAACGCTTTGGCATGAAGAGAGCATTGGTTGTTCATTCAGAGGGCTTGGATGAAATGAGTCCCCTTGGTAAGATTTCTTCACTTAAGTAAATAACATTATGCCAGAAAGGAAGATGGAACTGGATTTTGCTTTCTTTTGCTGCTATCTTTTGGTTATTCCACAGTTGCATGCTTAAATCTCTTCTTCTGACAATGATCTGAATACAGGACCTGGAGTAGTATATGAAGTCAAACCCGAAAAGATTTCAAAATTTTCATTCGATCCATGTGAGATCATTACACATTTGTATTTTGTAGTCTCTCTTTATACTGGAAAGTGACTGCCTGTTAGTTACTTTATATTAATGAGGTTTCCTCGGATGTATCTGGTTGCTGAAACCGCTGATATGAAAATGTGCATTTGATAGTGGACTTTGGCATTCCGCGCTGTACATTACATGACTTGCGAGGCGGAGGCCCTGATTACAATGCAGAAAGTTTAAAACGTGTATTGTCAGGGGAGAAAGGCGCCATTGCTGATGCTATTGTGAGTTTCACAAAGTTGTTATTTCAAGTGACAGTTCTTTATCTTTTTGCATATGAGCCTGTCAGTAGAAAAAACGAGTACTTGTGAACAGAGTTCTAATGCCAGAATAATTTTCAGGTCCTAAATGCAGCAGCTGCTCTCTTTGTCAGCGGCCGTACTAATAGCTTAGCAGAGGGAGTGGTTTTGGCTCGAGAGACGCAATTATCAGGGAAAGCTCTTAACGCACTTAATTTATGGATAGAGACTTCTAATGTAAGTGGGACTTAGTTTTGAATTGATGGGAATTTTAGAATTTAACTTTGCCAATTTTCTTATATCCACTCTGATTGACAACTGCAGAAAGTGAAAGAAGATTATGTTGCCAAGGTCGTCTGAAATTTACCGAAGCTTAAAACATTTTGAAGATCGGAAAATAAGAAAACCTTGAAACAGGCACATCGTTGGCAATTCCACAGTGAATAAAACAAGAGAATACCTTGTGTTCCCCTTGGTGCAAAAGTGTTTACACAGCCAAATATTAGTTGGCTCGTTACAATGTGTTTGTATTTTAGGATAGGAAAATTTCAAACACACTCAGGTTATACTTCAATTTAAACGATAGCATTTTTTTTTCTTTTTTCTTTTTTTTTTTTAAGGGAATGGTCGTGAGTTTCTGTGCGACGTAAATTAGTCAGTTAATTTACTTTTGGCAAGGTTGTTTCTGAGCATTAATGAAAAGGTTGTCTGGGTGCATGACAAGTTCTCGGGAATATTCATCAAAATTTAATTGAATGACAGGTTTTTGTTTAATGCTGTCACCCATAGCCAAGAAGAACTGCTAATTCAGAAGCTGGAGGAATGAAAATACAGCAAGAAAAAAAGCATATCCCCAGATTAAAATATCAACAATATTTAGTTTGGCACACGATAGGAATTCAGGTACATTGGTAATGTGGGAGACATTTTTCCATCTTTAAGTACAAGATTCATGCAGTCTTCGAAGCTTAATCAAACCTGGGCAGGCCTGTTGGGCAGGGCACCAGCATCCTGGAGAAGAGGCAAGAGTTGGCTGCGTTGGTACTTCTCCACAACAGCTGCAACAACAAAAGTGAAAGATATAATCATTAATGGATTTTCTCATATTAAGAGCGCCCATGAAAATAAGGGAATCAAGTGATATTAACGAGAAAAAGAAAGAACTTACTGTCACAACCACCAATGTGTTTCCCTCCAATGAGCACATTAGGTACTGTCCTTAGCCCAGTCCAGCGTGCTAGTGCTGATTGAATTTCAGATCCATCACCTTCAAAACATTGAAACACTCCTTTTTTTTTTATGTTGTAAAATCAATATGAAATCTAACAATTTAATCAAAACACAAATACCAACCGGGACAAAGGATCAACCAAGAGATGCTATAGCAAAATTCAGGGGAAAAAAAGGGGGGTGGAGGGGAAGGAAAGAGACAAGAAAGGTATAGTAATCTTACTCATCTCATCCAGTTCAATGACTTTGTAAGTTGCTCCTACCTGTGTCAGCAACTGCTTCACTCTGTTGCAATAACCACAATAGGTTTTGCTGCATGAACAAAAATTCAAGACTTGAATCAACGCTCACAAATCATAATACAAAAACAAACAAACCCAGAAAGATACAGCAATATCTTATAAATTACAACTGAGTTGGGACATTCATCGTCAAGATATATTAACAAAGAATCTTCTAATCGGGATGTTAATCATCAAAATATATCAACAAATAATCTTATAATTGTAAATTTTGAAGGTAATAAAACCTGAAAACAACGACAGGAGCAGATGAGGCAAGTTCCTTGGCCTTTTTAAGTTCAGCTTCGAGTTCTTCTTTACTCATCTTGATTGAAGAACTAAAAATAGAACCCATTTTCTATTTTGTTTTGTTGTATAGGAGAAAGCAAAGAGAAAGGAGCCAAAAGCAACCGAGAAGAGAACAGGGTGTCTTGTGTTCTGGTATGTTGTGTGCAGCGCAGCTTTTGTCTTGGTGGCGATTGACAAACAAACACAACTCACAGGTGTCTTATCTAACACCTTCCCCTATACAGAGATAGGTGATCAGATCGAATCCCAAATTCAATAAGAATCGATGCGGGAGATCAATCAAGTTTTTGCTTTTGTTGATTCTCTCTAAAAAAAAGTCAAACCAAGAAAGACAGTTCAGAATCAAGATACGAAAATGAGCAAAAATGCTATTACCGTTTCGTAGTAATTAGTATAGCATTCTGCTTTTGGACCTCTACTCGAAGGCCCATTTTAGTTCTGCTTGCCATCTCCCATCAAATTTTAGCAACTTTAACGTGAGGTAGTAACCCTACTTAAATTTGGGCTGTCAGAAGTCAGAACATTCACGATTTCCCAATTCTATGTGTCATGGTACCCGACCCATTGAGAGAATTACGGACCTTACCTATTAAAAAATATTATATCTATTATTCTATTTATTATTTATTAAAAATTATTTATTTATTTTTTATTTAGCTCATATCTATTATATCATACCTTATCCATATTCGTTTACTTCCTAATTTTTTTCTTCAATTGAAGATTTTTTTTTTTCAGTTTTCTTATTAATTTTTTTTTTGTATAGACTTTTTTTGTTATAAACTCTTTTTATTTAGTAAAATAATTGATGACATTTTTTTTTCAAGAAAGACCGGGATGATAAATGTTTTGAATATATTATGTAACCTTAAGATATTCTCTAATAGGATGTTTCTATCTATACTTTCAATATATTTATAAAAAGGCCAAGTGGGGTTAAACAATTGGAAAGAATATAATACCTTTATGCTTTTCATTTTTAAATATTTACTTGTTGGAAGGGGAAAAAAGAAAAATAAAAAGATAAAGAAAAGAATGATGATAAATTTCAATGAAACTTCTAATATGATCTGATTGATTGATTTATCCATGCATACTTAATAATAAAAAATATTAATAAAATCTCCAATATGTGGCAAGGTTTCAGCATAAATAAAAGAAATGATGGGAGGGTAAATAATTGTGAAAATTGTAATATTTAATTTTATTGTTGGAGAAAAACTAAAATTTAACATTGATTTTGACGGGTACATATTTTTGTCTAATAAAACTTACTAATAGGTATACATCAATTTCAACTTTTCAATTAGAATCCAATTCAAAATCAAATGAAAGAAAAACTTAAGAAATATTGTAGGAAATAATACAAAATAAAAACACATGGTGTCGATATATATATATATGCAGATTGATTTTTTTTTTTTTACACCATGGGGTTTTATTTTAAAATACTATGCTTTTGATTCATCAATGAGATTAATTGCTCTTTTCTTTTGTTTATTTTAAAATTTTATATTTTAGTTTTTTTTATTTTTTATTTTTTATTTTTTATGTTAATGGGTAAAAGATGAGTATCAATGAGGTAAATATATATATATATATATATATATATGGATAAATTTTCCATTAATATAAATGGATAATATTTTTTTATCCATATTTAACTCATTACTCATTAAGATATTTTTTTAAAAAATAATTAATAGGAGAATTGAGTAGGATACCTATTTTATATGCAATCCACTGCCATCCCTGTATGTATGTATTAAATGGGTAACAGACTAACAAGTTTCATTTCTTTTTGTGAATGGCCAGAATTGGATCTTGATTTGCCAAAGTACTCTTTCAAAAGAAAATCCCACATGAGTTGACATCGATTCATCTATTAGATGTAGCTAGGACTAGGACATATGCTGGCTGCATTGCATTCTCAAATGTAGGCTTTTAACTAAGAGCAGTTCAAGACTTCCATATGGTGATGGTCCATATACTGTAGGATCCTGAACTCCTTAAGACATTACTCCTTGGCCATAAAGACCAGTTGCATAAGTATGTGTGTAAAATTTCAGATCATTCTAAACCCTGTAATCCCTCACTTTACTAAGTCGAAATTCTGGACAAAATAGATTTTAAAATTTGCATCAACTTTCTCGACCCAAAAACACACTCAAATATTTTTGTAATTTTCTGATTTTTTTTTATAAGAGCTAAATCAACCCTTTCACTAACTAATATCAAAATTTTAGATCAAACTAAAATATCTTGTCTTGGTTATCGGCTTTGAGAGCGAATTTATTTAGTCTTCGAACCTTAATCAACCCATAATTTATCAAGCAAAAGCATAAAAGATAAAAGCAAGCCCTAATGCTTCACCCCTGAGAAGAATCCTCTACCCAAGCTAATTTAGGATATGCTCACAACATCCTAGCCAATCCAAGCAAAAGAGTTACACAAAAATTGTAAAGAAAACTCTTAATTTTTATTTAAATATTCATCAAAGTATAACTAAGCATAAAGTGTGCTTAAATACTCACATAAAAACTAAAGAGTCGGCTAGGGTGAATCTTCCTCTCCTTAGCTGATTCTACTTCTTTTCCTAACTAGGATTCTTTTTCTAATTTGACTTGAATTTATACCATTCATCTTCAATTAAAACTTTATTAATTCAATCTAATTAAATCTATATTCAAATATTATATGAATTCAAAATAAATAAAGTCTTCTCAACAAATAAGGATCCATAACATGTAAGGATCAACATTCGGCCATGTCCTAAACAAAATAAGAAATCCGCAACTTATGAGGACTAATTGATTAGCCCAAGTTCTTACAAATAAAAATAACCCATTAAATAATATTCAATCCAAATAATTAAAAGAGCAATAAAATAAAATGAAAAATAGAGGGCTGAAAGTTTCGGCAATTATGGAGCGCCAAACTTCCAACCGAGTGGGAGGTGGATGCTCCCGCATCACTAAAGCCAGGCACTTTGCTGCTGTCCAAACCTGCAAGCAAGGTCTTGGTTTATGAGAGCACTGAGGTCATCTCCCTTGCCTTTAATGATCGAACCTGTAAAATTGAGCTGAAACAGTTTTAAACAGGATGGAGTTGTAGGCATGCATCTCCACTGGCTAATCTACTGGCTTCCATCAGAGCCAGGGATTCAGCTGGGCCAGCAAGAAATGTACTACTTCTGCATGAGTGTTTTCCCATCCAAACTCATTCTTTGTCCTAATACAAACGAACAATTCTTGTTTAGCAAGAACATGAACGAAAGGTTAAGAAATAGTAAAGACCAATATGTTGGAAGCCACTCATTTTGAAGTCAACGACTTGATAAAAATAAAGAAACAAATATCAGGTCTGATGCATTTGCAAGTTCTAAGCTTTTTACATTCCACAAAATTAGCTTCCTTAAAACTTCAACTAACAACACTTGAGCTTATCCAATTTGATGGGTATTGCACAATGAGCCACAATCACCCATACGAAAATTCTCAAAAGCTAGTGTCAAGTATACAGAAGCTGTTTTAACAAGGATGGAAGTTACTGTAAAATACCATCATATATAGATCTTCCTCTTTTCTCAATGCTTTAATCTCATTTTGATGCAAAAATTTCTTCTAAATCTTTATACAACCGATTTGGTTTGGACCTGGAATCTGAAGGGGTCTTTTCAGATGAGCTCCCACTCCTTTTGTTTGTCCAAAATCCACTCCATTTGGTTTGACTGGTTGAAGGATCATTCCGTGATCCACTTCTTTGTTTGGTAAAGCTAGCCCTTGCTAATTCTCTTAGTTGTTTCTGCCATGGTTTATCTGGCGTGCCAGAGCTCCTGTTCCCTGAGCTTTTGTTTCTGTCAACAGAAGAACCAGTCTCTCCCCCAGTTTCTCTCTCACCTTGTCGTTTAGCTGGTAGTTTGCTTTCCAGGGTTTGGCTCAATCTTTCTGGAAAGAAAAACAAGAGAAATCCAATTGATGCTGTTTTCAGACCTGTTAAGAAAAACTGCTCGGAGGGATCCAGTCGCTTTATCTGTCTATACAATGCATACCATTCATTGACCATTTGTGCCAAGAATCCGATTAAGAACAGTACAATCATGAAGATGCCAACTCTAGTTTCTTCTCTAGTTGATAATTCCTTCTCCAAGAGAATGAAAAAAGTTGCAAAAATACCTACTTGGCAGGAAATAGAGATGATCTCAACCAGTTGGACCTTATTTTTAATAAAAGGCTTCTTAAGGACAAGGAAGAAGAGCTGAAAGGAAGTGATGGACAGTAAGATAATTGTTGGAGATTTAGAGGACCAGTTATCCAAGTAGGCACCAGCCAGAATTCCCAAAGAAACTCTCTTGACTGACTCAAGCAGTATGTAGTATATCCTAAGAATTCCATACAGCTTCTGAATAAATGGTGCTTCTGCATCTTCTGTTTCATCATCGGAGGCAATGATTCGATCTCCTTGCTTGCGGGGAATCCCAGCGATTTGTGAAAGCATGTATTTAGGGGGGCCTCGTAGATCTTCAAATAAAGCACCTAAACTGATTAGATAAACAGACTTCGGTTGATTCTTCCATGTCCACTGGCCTCTCCTACCAGGACCTAAAGTTACTCGGATAATATCTTGATACCAGTGAAATATCTGGCCTTCTTGATGGACTTCCTTGTACTGAAGTAGCTTTCCAAATGTGATTCCAACAGACAGAATCAGGAGCAAGGCCAGCAGTAAAACCCCCACCATACCCAGCAGCAAAACGCCAACCATAATCCCTCCTGCTGTTCCTCCTTGAATCATAAAAATAAATATCAATTAAATGTAACAAGTTGTATACTTTCGAGTTAACTGGTATGAAAAGAGTCCAATACAGTTAGATGCTGTGACAGATATACATATCCATCAATATTATGGATCAACAACATTTCTAACAATGAATGGAAGTTTAGTGCATAGATCTTCCACCTTGTATGCAACTACTGCATAGCAGTATATGCAACTATGGTATGTATAGTCTAAGACTCTTAAGGAATGGTCTGTCAGAGAAAGACATTACAAGAAAAAATCAGAGACAGAGCTTAGAAAATGGCATCAAAGGGTTTCAGCATCGAAATTTGTGAAGAAAACTACTATGACCTATCGAAATAAATTTGTGTGATTCCAAATATTTAATTAGATTAGTATCCACAACGGATGAAGTTCCCTTAAGGGTTTCCATGCTGAAGTATTATGTAATAGTTGAACAAGAGGGGGCTATAATCATATAGGGATTGGAAAAGGCATAGTGTGCTCAATGCAGAGATTCTGTTGCTCCAACATAAACTATTTCTCATTCAGCACCTCAAACAAATGAATGTAAAATAAGGTCCTTGTATTACCACATAGTTGCATATGTACATGAGCAAGATGTAAATGATTTACTTGGAAATACAACAAAAGTGCAAGCAACTAATTTTTGTATGGAAGCTTATATTTGCTTCCAGTGGAATGCATTGACAAGGTGATATATAAAAGGAAGAAAAAGGAAAATGAAGGGTACCTCTAACTAGAGAAGCAGAGGCCTCACAAATACAAGGCAAAGCAAGAATTGTGAGAAATATCTCAAATCTTGGGAAGGTCAGTGCTCCATAGTCACTCTGCTCGTCAGTGTTTCTCTTCTTCAATTTTAGAATAAATAAAAGTATGGCATGGACCAGTATCAAACTGCCACCAATTACAGCTAACCAGAACATGCTTCTATCAAAATCCCTCCACCTACAAGAGATGAGTAAAATATTTTCTTGCAGCAGCACTTGAAAGAAGGTCCAAAGAGGAACTAATTGTAATAACTAGAAAGACAAAAATCCCATAAAAAATTAGAAGGAAAAGCAAAGCATTAGGCAACTGTTTTGGTCATGAACACCATTTTGCAATAATGCAAGATAATTGACAAAAAAATTCAGTATTGAATAAATTAGCATTATATATGGTATGTTCACGGAAATTTTCGTTTTTGTCAAAAAAGCACATTTACTATGGCTGTTTCTAATTTCTTTGCTTAATCACTGAACTTTCATCATGTTTCTGGCATGAGAAGACTGAAGGCCATATTGAATGGAATAAAAAGAAACATCACAAAAACTCACCCATTTGAATGTTGTGGATCCATCATTTGTTCTGCTTCTGGTTTAAAATTTTGGCTCTGCAGATAAATAGGGGAACTTGTTTTATATAATAACCATTTGAAGTTGAAAACAAGTATCTGGAAAATGGTTCCTGACCTCAAAAAATGATATGTACTCCATTGGAGAAAGGGGCAATCCATACACCAGAGAAGAGTTATTCACACTCTTCCCTTCAATTTGCATGCTCTGGAATATATCATGAGTTTTTGAGAAATAGGAATGTGCACCAGAAGAGGAATTTGATTTCACCATGATTGGTTGAATACCCCGAGTTTCCCACGGGAGAATGAGGTAGGGAATACTCCACTGTAAACCTCTTGCAAACTCATAATATTCGACTGGCAGCGTAACAGCCAACCATCTAGACAGTGCAAAAACCTGAATATGGCATGCAGTTCTCTGTATATAAAACAAAAATATATATTTCTCTTAATTTTCATGATAACGGAAATGGAAAGTTTACATTTACACTTCATAAATTTCATCCCACTAATTTCAACACCAATTTATCTCTTGCGAGTTAAAATCAATAAATATAACCTTATGTCTATGAAAGACAATTGTGAGTATATTGAAACATGTCCACAGTATCTGAAAATCATTTGAGTTTTGAGGTGCAGACCGGTTGGCTTTTAGTAATCTTTCTCATATATGAAGTCATCAGGAAGTGCAGAAAATAAATTTTAGAACTGAAGGAAACCTTTCCAGCCCAAATGTAAAAGACCACTAGAAATTGTAAAATGTCATGATGTAACCATGTGGAGATAACTTTTCTTTAGTTTAGGATCATACAAAAAGATTCCTTGTAGGTTCAACTGTCAGCAAAGGAGATGGTCTTGAGAATGCCCTAGCAGACAGAAGGCTCGTAGTTGACAAAGTGAGCAGACCAGCAACAAGAGATGTAGCCAGGAAACAAGCAGTTGTGAAGGCAGTGATTACATATGATATCATGGGTACAGAATCTGAAAATATATTTCATTTTCAGAACATAATCAGCAAAACAACCAAAAAGATAAGGAAATCACCCGTAATACTTAGGCATTGTACAGAAATAGAACATAGAATGAGTTGATAAAGAAAAATGAATTTCTTACAACGTCTCACTTGTAAGATATTAGACGGTAGATTTTTATTTCCAGCAACATCTCCAGTTACATTTTGAGGAATGCTGACAGATAAGACGTCATCATCTGCTTTTATCTCTGCAATGTATTTGCTCCGATTTATTTCACGAAAGCTGGATTGCATTAAAACAAAAGAGTAAACTTTTTTGCAAAACCAGGCAGCATATTTGCCTTTTTGAACTACTTTATTGTTTTTGTGGTGTGGAGTGTGAGTGTGTGCGCACATGCATTCGCTTTTGCATAAGAAGGTAATCATGTACAAGTCAGTGAAAGTTGGCTTACCGCTGCAATTGACCCCCTGAGATCGATAGAAAGGAGGAGTTGAAGCCAAATACTGGCTTCATGAACTTAATTGATATTGGAATGCTATGTTCCTTTGTCCTTGTATTAGATGTACTCAGCCTCACAGCAGGCCTTTGAGAATCTGAAACTTGCATTAATACCCATATAAGAAGAGTATAATGATATCTTAAATATCTCACATAAACATATTTAGATCAATTAATTGTAAAGCGCACAAAAACTTCTTATCAATCTGAGACTTTTCAATTTCAACAAGGTAAGGGAGAGAATATGAAACCTAAACCTTTTAACATATATTTTTATTTTTCTCTTTTTATAACCTCTTATAACTGTGGTAGATTGTACCATAAAGAAAAGTAACTGGGGCGATCAGAGAAACTGAAGTCCCTGGCCTGCTAGTTATAGAATTTGAAAGAAGGCCGATTGTAACAATCGCAATGCTGGATAAATTCGCAACCTGAAAGAAGACAGCAAAGATGAAGTAACTACCAAAACATATGAGCAAAAAATGGTGCAAAGACAAAAAGATATGGCATCAAGACAAACAATTTAACTGCACACACGAACTGACCTGAAAACCAAACTTTCGGTTCCCAAGGTTTTCTCCACTTATAGAAAGAAGCACTCCCTGACTTGTGTTGAGAGAATTTAGAATTTCTGTGGATGAATTCAAAATAGGTTCTGAGAAGTACAAGTAAAACTTCAAGTTATCATTATTATTAGTTGCCTTGACTGTTCTGATTTCATTGTTAAGTTGAAGTAGCTTCTCTGGAATGTGAATCCTCAGGTCAACAAACACACTTCTTCTATCTGTAGAATAAACCAAACGAACAGAGCAAGATAAGAAAACTTTGATAGAAACATAAATAAAATGAAAAAGAAGGCTTAACATTTGTTAGTTACATTCATAAAAAAAAAAAAAAAATTGGTTTAAACCTTCTAATTAAGCTCAAAGCAGAAAATAGTCTTTGAAGAAAAGTGCTGCTCATAACGGTTCCATATAAGAATTTGAGGAATGAACAACAATACTCACCAAAATGAACAAAGAAACTTGAATTAGCAGCTCTTACAAATCTGTTTCCAGCAGCGTCAGTACAAAAGTTCTTATCCATTACTAGTATCACCCGTCCATACAGAACATTAGGAGATAAACCCACCAGAAGAGTATATTTCAGATTTGGTTCCAGAACAGTCAGCGAAGATGGTATTACTTGGCCAGCACCATAGGCCAACAGCTGTAAATAGATGCATAGAAATCTATAAGAACTAGTTTTGGTCAATACTTCACATGAAAGAAGAGCATGTAACATATCAACTCTTCTTTATAGACCTAGGAATACTATTAACTGTCTATTGATCTATGCAACAACAACCATGCCTCAATCCCAAACTAGTTGGGGTAGGCTATATGGATCCCTTTGAGCCATTCTGTGCAATAATATACCAAATCCTGCCTCAATATTGGGAGATTTTAAATTCTCTTGATATACGAAAACCAAAATACTCATGTTAAGCCTGAAAAATCAAAAGTTCAGTATAAATGCATCAACAAGTGAGCACACAACATTTTTCAACAATGTTTAACTACTTAAGTTTGTTTATTTCTTGTTGTAGAGTAGTCGCTGGAGAAATTACAATCCTTTGGAAGAGGTTACTCACAATCAATATTATTTGGGATTTTCTGGAGTCTATATTCAAGAGACCTATGTGAATCAAACAAAACTATTATTCCAACAGTGGGAAAGATCAAAGGTAGTTTTCTATCATAATACCACAATTATAAATGAAAATAGCTAATATATACCTATAACACTGAATGCACACACGAAAAATAGAGTTTAATATATTTTCATTTAACACATACTCACGTTGCACGCATTCACGGATGAACATCCAAAACCTCCTCCTCCAGTGCAGGGCTCAGTGAAAGAAATATCTACAGAGACATTTAGAGCATTTGTAAATGATTTTGATGCGTTTATATTTGCTGTTGGGGGAATCGTATCTGCACAAAGTAATTAGCAAAAATTCAAAGTCTATAATTGCCAAGTGCCAAAATATCTAACTGTGAATTTACAAGGACTTGCATACTCAATTTCAGGTTTCGTAACTTCATAAACCTAACCTTATAGAGGCAGCATTTCTTTATAAGCTATAACTAATTCAGTATCCTTGTTTTGTGAATTTGAACTATGATTTAGCTTTCCTAGAGCACATATCAACCAAAAGATTTATACAATTATGAAGGAAATACAAGAGAATTTCACAATATTTACTCAAAAAGAATAAAGGAAGGTTTCTTAACCAACTGTCCAGTTATAGGTAGCACAGCCAACTCCTTGAAATCCATTACTGCAGACCTCAAATGTATGATTTCCATCCTGCAACCCCTGGTATGAAACCTTACTAGCTCCACAATCAGATTCAGAGCCACTATCCAGCTGCATGCATGTTATTCAGTTACAATGAATGAATAACCAGCAAAAAAGAAAGGGAAAAGCTTCAATTGAATGAACCAGCAGTGCCATTAAACAAGTAACAAAAAGAAAGAAAACAAAAATTTCTAATATTTTCTTCAGAATCCTTTTCTGGATGAGTTTTCATCAAATGATTGATAAGAAGTCTTTAAGTCTTTCTGTCGTAAGAAGTGCGTTTACAGGTATGGTGCTTACTCAGCACTTGTGAAGACCCAACAATATATCAGCAAATCCCCAAAGCAAATTCACATAAGAATTAGAACCACACAAAATCAAATACTTGCCCATCTTTAAAAGAATATAACGCATAAGGTAATTATTCATCTGTGTGACAGTAAGAGAGAATAAAGAAGCACCGAAAACTATATATATATAGAAAGCACCCAAAATAAGAGAATAGCAAAAGCAGCAACTAGTGTAAGTTGAGAGATGAACTAACCTTGCAACTGATGCTACAGTTTCTGCAGGAGTTCACATTCCCACCTACCAAAACTTGAAACTCAAATGTAGCTATGTTCAAGTGTGAGAATGCATGAGGAGCCTTCAAGAACTTCACAGACACCTCTGCATCATCACAGAGAGCTCTAAAGCACAGAAATGAAAGAACCCAACAAAGTAAAACCAACCATGAGAGCTTGGGCCAACCCATTTCTGCATAGACTCTAAATTGATGACTGAACCATGTAGAGGCTAAATCTACAAGACAACGAGATACATTTGTGGGGTTTAGAGAAACAGTGTTGAGCTAAAGAGAGAAGGGCGTTGCATGGAAATAAGACTGAAAAATGTGGTAAAGAAAGACAGAGAAGGATTAGAAGAAATAATGGAAGGAAGAGAGTGGATTAGAATAATGTTTCAATGGTTGATGAAAGTTGTGTTTAATTAAGGAGAGTGCACATGAGACTGACACTGCTGGACAAGGCTGTTTTAGCAAAGATAAGTGAGAGAGAGAGTGGGGGGATTCTACTAGAAGGAAAAGGCTGATTTTGCCATAAAATCTTGTCAGGACTGAAACTTTTCACGACTAGCCAGTAGCTATCTGTTGAAATTTGGCTCCTCCAAGCCTAAGCATGATTAATAACGTCATCTGCCTATAAATATGCTCACAACAAAATAAATATAAGGCCTTTAGTACATAAACCACCCATTGAAAGAACATAATATCGAATTTCAGCCATTAAATTTTCTTATCAAAAACTCTGCATTTATAAGCCAATCACTATTATCAAATAATAATAACAATAGTAATAAGGCAAAAACTAGGAACTATTATCATCTTTCTTACACTAACCGTTTGCATAAGTGAAATGTAATGGGGACAAAGCAATCTAATAACTGGGATTTCTAAGTGCATCAATGAAACCTTCACTGAGATTTTCTTTTCAACAAAAGACAATACACGTTCTTTCAAATTTCAATTCTCATAAAGCATACGTTTACAGTGGCCAATTAATGTCGCGCATACACACATATATACATTAAAAAAATCAAATTTTGATTTTTTTTTTTTTTTGACAATTTCTTGGCTAATAATATAAATTGATTTTTTTTTCCTTCTAAAAAAACCAAGAAAGAAAGAAAGAAAACAGTTCCACGTGCATGGACGACCTTCAATGGACAGAGACCATGTTATTCTTTCATTCCAGTTAATTTTAAAACATATACGTCCCTAATACATATATTGTTTGCATTGCTAGCAGATTCGAACCACCAACCCCACCTCTACACCCATTTATTGATGTGACTTAAACAAGCTACCGTCCTTGTCCAGAATCTCTTCATTCCTCTTCAATAATTTGATCACTTTATCTTTCCTGTTTCTCTAGTGTTGTCTTGGCCATAGTTACATTTTAGAACTCGTCATGTTGAAGGGTTCTTTTTGCTCTAACAAGTTTTGGGTAATTCCTCCCGAAGGATTGAGCATCCAAGAAGTCATCAATCAATTTCTCAACCAACTTGTTTCTTAAGTTTTCAGGGATATAATTACCAACTTGTTGTGAAATGGATGAGAGGCCGCCTATACACAATCCATATGCAGTTGGAAGCATTTACTGTTTACCTTGAATAGTAAATGCAAAACCAGAACTATTTCATCAACCCTGAAAAGTGGTCCTCTTAGTGGTTTAGGCCCCACACTATTAGAAAAAAGAAAAGTACCGCGGACAAAACAAATGATTGGATATCTTTACCCATCTCGATATGCAGTGGTAGTCGTTTGTTTGTGAGATATAAACTTTCTTCAAAGCTCAACCTCAAAAACATTATCTCTTTAGTTCATCCTCTCATCTTGGGCTTAGGCTCCATTTATCAACCAAAAAAAAAAAAAAAAAAACAGCGTCCTCTGTCTTATGCCATGGTCTCCAATTTTCACTCTTTTCAAGAACAAGCAGAATCAAGTAGGGAAAATTTTGTGGAGATGAAAATAGAAATAAGAAATAGTCATAAAATAGGTAAATAGAAACCACAAAAGAGGGGACAACATTGAAGAATACGTGAGAAATGTAATAGTAACAAAGGATAGAATGAGCTGTCCTCCACAACTGCAGTAAACCCATGTCGTGACATGGGTATTTGAGGTACCTAAGAGAATTGGATTGCCAGCGTTACTGCCTTTGTTGTTAGTTAACTTAATTTTGTCTGTAGTAAAACGATATTATCTAGGACAAAAATAAGGAACAAGAATGCTAAACCACAGTCGAGGACAACACGAGTCACAAGACCACTGAAAACTTCACTCAAAAAGGAGGAGTCACGAGTGAAATAGCATCCCCAGTTAATGACAAAACATAAATAGAACAACCCATTAAAGTTGGTTAGGCACGAGACTACGATAAACCAGGCCTTCATGGATCACAACAGATTCCCATAAGCCCGAACAATGCATAAGTAACGGCCACAGGCAGAGAAGTCTACAATGGTGGAACCCAGCCCAGAAGCTCCATTTGCAACTTCCAAGCGTTGAGGAGCACAGTTTTTTTTCTTTTTCTTCTCTCTCTCTCTCTCTCTCTAAACCAAGTCAAAAGTCTGACCAAAGGGAACCAGTCTAAATGGCAATCGACAGTGTTGGATAATGACCAAAGGGAACCAGTCTAAATGGCAATCGACAGTGTTGGATAATGTAGTAAAAATTCATTCTGTTTTCTACAAGGAAAGCAGCATCCGCCACCACAATATGAAGTGCAGATCTTTTACCACTGAAATTTTGACCACTTCAACGCCAATGATACCAATGATAGGTCCATGCTTTGGTCTCCAATTCTATTATTATATAACGATAGGAGTGACTTAATCATAAGAGTTTTTGGAGACCACAAATAATGCTAGTGCTACTATAACGTATAGAACATGAGTAGGTGAGGAAACACCCACAACCATAAAGAGGTCCTAGGAATTAATAATAATTTCAGTGGTTGAATAAGAACAGATGAAAAGTCATGTTGCTATTCCCATATGTATAAGCATCATAATGAAAGCTCCTGATAGCTCACAAAAATAAACATCGAAGTATACCAGGACCCTTGCTTTAGGGATGGCTGTCTGATCTCTAAATAAACGATAAAAAGTACTGGACCTATGAATTTTTATTCTAAGTTAGTACTAATACAAATTAATAAAAGTTTGATGGCATAAATGATACATACCTAACAAAATATGATAAAGCAGCAGCAATGAATCTATCCAGAATTTAGTAAGGAGATGTACTACTGCATCGAAGTCACTTAACAGTACTGTTTTCTGGTATCCATATATGAAGAAGCCGATCATAAAAGGAACAAGTAGCCACTACAGAGCTGTTTTGTTTAGCCTTTTGAGATAATTCCCCTCTTTGCCAATCTGCACCATAAGCAAGTGAGCCATGCTTGGCATAGGTTTCCATTACTTCGCCTTTCTCCTCATCAATCTTCACAACTGTAAAGCCATTGTGCATGCAAGCTGCTAAGACCACGCCTGGTACATACGGGTGGTGCTTGACTCTCCAAACTCCTCCCCCTAAAAAAACTGAAGTTTCATTAACTGGTTTTGAAATTGATCTTAAATCCCATAGCCTTAGATACTCATCATAGCTACCAGTGAGTAAGATATTAGGGTCCCTAGGACTCTTTGCAATGCAACAGACACCCATCCTATGGACCTTAGAATTCTGAAACACCAAATTGGAAGGACTATCCCTTAAATCCCAACAACTGAATTTGCAATCATCCGAACCAGTGTATACCAACTGTGGTTGGTGGATGTCAAATGAAGCAGCCCATAGCTCAAAATCATGTGCTTTCCACTCTTGAATTAGATCTAACTGGGACTCCGAAAAGGTGACTAAAGATACAGAACCATCTGAGAGCCCCACTGAGATAGATGTGGCTGATGGATTCCAGTCCAAACAAAGACACATGGAGGAGCTTATTTTTTCACCGACTATCTCTCTTAGAGATAGAGAGTCCCCTGCATCAAGAAGTAACAACAAACTCCTAAGAACCAAACGAACAGAAGAACAAGAACATGAATTTTAATAGCCAAGTCACTAAATTTGCAGCTTCAGTCTATATTAACCATTGATTTCCAACTTGTTCCAATTGTTAGATAACATAACAATGTTAACCCTTCCCCTTCCTGAATCCCTCCATCGCAAGTATGAAGGAGATTCTATCCTGGGTCTTTCAGGGAAATGCCAACTTAGCAGGCACCCATGATATTAACATGTGAGAATGCACCTAAAGGACGGACCAACCTCATCTGTTTCTAAGAGAAAGCAAGTTAAAGGGCATGGGGACTGGCAAGATTAACTTTATACCAATAACATTACTCATACATTTTATTGGCAATTTATTTTTTCTCCATAATTTTCACGAATCAAAACTATCACTCGTAAATACACATGTACGCACATGCCATGCAACTAAACCTTTCAAATTCGAAGTAACTTTACCTCCATTTGGACAGAACTCTAAACCATGAACTCTCAAGTACCCATCAGCATCAGCTTGAGCAAGCATTGGACCTACATTACCATTTCCACCAACAGGACTCCACTTAATATCAAAAATCCCTGCAGTTTCCACGCGATGAAACAACTCAAACCGACACAAATCAGCATTCACATCGAATAGTGAAATGCTACCTGATCGACTCGGCCGATCACCCTCTTGCAGCGTGTAAGTTGCTGCTGCTAAAACATTATGGTATGGCTCGTGCGCACAGAACTCCACTGCGTCTGCATTGCCATCTAGATAACACTGTGCCACTTCCATAACTGACAAACAAGACAAGAAAAGTTAATTTAAAGCGTTTGCAATGGTACAAAAATGGTTGGGGCATTTTTTCGAACAATTTGTGGACACAAAATTGAAGTCCCAAATTCACCTCCTCAAACGCAGTATGGCTTGAGAATTTGTGTTTGTGTGCGTCTGTGTATGTGATTGTTAGGAGTGACATGTCGTATAAAGTTTGTTGTGTTCTATGTATGCAAAGAATCTTACGTTAGAGAGAAAGCTTTTACAGAGGAGAGAGAGACCTCGCGGTTACGTTCGTCGGTACTTCAACTTGCTGACTTTCAGATCCACTAACTGCCATTAAATGGAGGGTTTATGACTCTTTTCGTCCCTATATTTGTGTGAAATATTTAATTGGATCCCTCTATCACAAAAAAATATTTGATAGAGTCTTTCCATGTCAATGAATTGAATTGGTTATCGTCAAATGTCCCTCTTGTCTCTAACTCCACCAGTATTTAACAACAAATATGCTAATTAAGTGATCATGGAATCAGAAATTTCAGTAATTATATATTTTTTAAAATTAATTCATGATAATGCATAAAAGTACCTTTGGAAAATTTAAATCTAAAAAAGAAAAAACAAAAGAAGATGAAAGAAAGAAAACCATCGCCATCATCGTTGCCACCATTCTACAATTTTTACTTACTAAGAGACATGCATAACATAATCCATCTAGGATTCATTTGAGACAAAAGATAGTGGTGGCTTTGGAAGCTTTTAACCATAAAGCCACCACATTTATTTGGTTGAAAATCATTTTAGTTTAATAATTTATTTTATGGTGTGAATCTATAAAAATATATTAAATCAAAGATAAAAAAATATATATTTATAATTTTTTAATCAAAAATTATGTATTAAACTATTTCTTATTTGTGTTTTTCATAATTTTTCATTTAGAAAAAGGATTTATACTTGTTAATCCATGGATTATTAACTAAAAAGAAAATTAAATAATTTTTTTAAAAAAACTTTAGTATTTCATAAGATTGTGTAGAAAAACAAAAATAACAATTATTAAAAGCTTATATAGAATTGAACAAATATTTTATTTTATTTTTATTTAGTGTTGATGAGAATATCAATTTTTGAAAAAAATATGAATTTATTTTTTATATATTTATTTACAAAAGAATGAATAATATTAAAATAACTAAAAGCTGTCAAGTAAATATAATTTTAAATTAATTGAAAGAGAATTTAAAAAAATGATAAATTAAAGTTGATCATGGAATCCGAAATTTCAATAACTATATTTTTTTTAAACTAATTCATGATAATGCATAACACTACGTTTGGAAATTATAAAAAGAACTAAAAGAAGTGAATGTGAGATTATTCACTTATAGTAGCTCCTCACTCAATGTCCTTGTTCATACGTTTCTTTATTGCTTCTTGGTTCCTTTTTCTTTAAAAAATAAATTAATTAGTCCCTTTGGTTTGAAAACTAATTTTTTTTGTCCTTTTTACCATTTTTCTATTTCTATTTTTTGTTTTAAGAAATAGAAAAAAAACCAAAAAAATAATTCTTTGACAAATAAATTAATTAGTCCCTTTGGTTTGAAAACTAATTTTTTGTCCTTTTTACCATTTTATCATTTTTTATTTTTCTTTAAGAAATAGAAAAAAAATAACTAAAATATGAAAAAAGACATTTTATTTTTTTTGAAGAAAATTATCTTATCCAATAAAAAGTATCTTAGTATTGTATAAAAAGACCATGAAATCCTATTTTGAGTTGTTTTAGTGATCCTTATTCATTCTTAGGTAATTGTATAGATTAATGTTGATGAAAAAAGAAAGGAGAAAAATAAAAATAAATGCAACGAGAGGGAGGTAGAGATGGTTTTTGAGATAAGGAATTGGAAATAGAAGATGCAAATAAATTTCAATGATTCATAGAAGTGGTAACTAGAGACCTCATTTCTTTTTACTTTTTTAGGACCTCCATATAGAATTAAGAAAATAGTAAATTGGAAGATTAAAAAAATGATCTTAGGGAAAAAAAAAGTAAAATATGAAGAAAAAAAATTTATAAAATAAAAAAATAAATTATTCGTGATCAATACTAATTAAATAATTAAATAATTTATTTTTGAAACCAAAAGAATTAATTAATTCATTTCTCAAAATGATATGAACTAATTTATAATTTAATTTTCAATTCAAGAATCTCTTTCATCATAAATTCAGAATTTATGAAAACTAATTTTATAATAGTTTTTATTTCAATTTATTGATTTTAATATATTCCATAAAGCTTAGATGGTTTTTTTTTAAAAAAAAAATTGTTTATACTATATATTCTAAATCTACTGAATATAATCATAATATTATTTATGTATTTGCATACATAACATCAATTATTTATTATTTATTCTTTTTTATGTTGTAAAATCAATATTTTTTAAATAAAATAATTGAAATAATGTTTTAGAAGAACCTTTCAATTATTCAAATATAATTTCTTATACTAATATTATTGATTATTTTGTTAATAAATATATATAAATCAAGTGATTTTGCTCGGCAAATAGATTTGATTTATATTAATTACGAGAAATAAGATTTTTATCTGTATTATATCATATGAATCATTTAATTTATGTATATAACGGTTATCCGATCTCGATATAATACGGATATCCAACTAGTTTAAATCTAAATTGAAAGAAAAAAAGAAAGAAAATCATCACAATCATTGTTGCCACAATTCTACAAGTTTTACTTAGTACCGTATATACATAGCATAATCTATTTAGGATTCATTTAGGACAAAAGATAGTGGTGGCTTTTGGAGCTTTTTAACCCTAAAGCCACCGAGTCTGTTTGGTTAAAAACAAATTTTATGTGGAATTTATAGAGCTTTTCGGTCGTGATAATGACTTTTTATAACGTTTACCTTATAATTTTAGACATATTAACACAAACATATTGTCAATCAGATATTACACAAAATATTTTTTGTACCATTAGAGATATATCATGATCAATATCAAACACACACTTATTTCAATCCAATGTAAAATAACTTATCATTCTTAAAGATTTGCTCCAAACAAAAACTAATGACTTTATAATTTATAGAAACTAATGGCTTTATAATTTATAGATGCACCTTATGCTTTAACTTTTTCCTTACAATTGATTTGCTATGGCTTTTAATGATAAATACTTTTGAACTAAACAGAGTTTTTGAATATATATATATATACACACACTGAGTTTTTGTTTTCATCAAAAGCATTAAAAACACTAGAAAAATATAATGGAAAGCACCTTTAGTTGTAATAATACCAAACACGTGATTAAGGTATGCGGAATTTTAAGATTGAACTGATCAAGCAAGGCATATACAAAAGAAATTCTTAAAAATAAAAAGATACGGGGAAAGAAAATGGGTCCAATTATGATGCAGGTGCTAAAATGAGGAATGAAACTACTAGAATTGGAGGAGTAAAATTATCAAAGATAAAAGACTAAAATGAAGTTTAGGATGGTCAACAAGTCAGTAATTAATCCTTTAGAGAATTACTCGTATGAAGAAGTACGTCTGAAAGGGTTAAATGAATGGGAATGGCTGTTATGCTGAGCCGGCCGGAAGTTAGTTGGTTTGATATCTACCATGCATGCATGTAGCCAGTATTGTTAAAATTAAAGAGGGGGACACTGTAGCCATTCTTTAGTATTTTCTCTATATTCTCTCTCTGAAATTTTCTCTAGTTTTCTTGTAACTTTCATTGAAGAACAATTCTTGTTATTTTGTTTTCTTGAATAAAATTGCATGCGAATTAAACCTTTCATCTTAATTGATTTATTTGGTTTTAATTAAAATTCTTTAGAATTCTACAATTATATTCCTAATTGATTTATTTGGTTTTAATATAAAATTCTTTAGAATTTTACAATTATATTCCTAGTTCTTGTTGATTGGGATTTTTAACTGCATCATCTGGTAGCACATGTGGAGGAGGAAGAGATAAGTAATGAAGGACAAAAGAAATACTGAGCTCAAGTGAAGATGGAAGAATCAATTGCATTTTTTACTAAGGTATTTTCTAACCTCACTTTGAAATGTGACATTATGTTTGCACAATGTCATAACCCATTTTTCATCTCCTATAAATTTTTATTTGATACCAAATTCTAAAAAACTCAAATATATATATATATATAATTTCTTGATTTTTCTATGATTTTTTTAGGTATTTTTCTAAATTTTTAGAATTTAAATTTCTTCGGATTATCCCCTAATTTTAATTAAAAGAAAAAATAATAGAAAAAGAAAAAAGAAAAATGAAATGAAAGGGGAAAAAAATAAAAAGAAAGAAGGAAATTTGATTACAAATCTAAGGAAATAAATTGTATGGAGACCAATAGAAATTGAATTGAGGGTGTAATTGAAAAAAGAAAAGGCCAATGATTAAGGTGAAAAACAAGGAGGGTGTGAGGGACCAAATCTGAATTAAGTCAAACCCTAATCAAATTCTCTATAAATACCTCTCTTTCACCAAAAAAAAAAAAAAAAAAAGATGGAGAACTCCGTGACGCTCCGAGCTCCCTTACTAATTATCTAAGAGGCGCGGCTAGGTGCGTTATGGTTTAGAGACTAAAGTTCCGATTTACTCTCATCATACAAGGCCAATAAATAATAACAAATTAATTATAGAAGTACTTATAATAAATTTACACAACTTTAATGAATACTCGTTACGAAGTCATAAAATATCTAAGGTGTTATTTACACACTCGCTAGACACCTTACCCTATGTTATAATCAAAAAAGATTTTTATGTTTTTTGTGTCACATATGAGCCCTTTTTGGGAGGAACCAACGGCTTCTTTATCAGCATTACCATTGCTTTTACCTGTCATGGCATGAAATAACGGAAGGATGAGCTGAAGCTTCGTAAATAGGGTGATGCACGTGAGATGCGGTGTTATCCTATCACTTAGCCTTTCCCTATTGATTT